GGTGTATGGCGCGGAGGCATGGACAATGAAAGCATCTGATGAGGCGGGTCTTGGAGTTTTCGAGAGAAAGATTCTGCGAAAGATTTACGGACCTTTACGCGTTGGTGATGGCGAATATCGCAGACGATTTAACGATGAGCTGTATGAGCTTTACAACGATATAGACATAGTGCAGCGAATTAAAATTCAGCGGCTCCGCAGGTTTGGCCATGTCGTTCGAATGGACAGAAACGCTCCTGCTCTGAAAATATTCAACGCGGGCTGCGATGCTGGTAACAGAGAAAGAGGAAGGCCTCCTCTGCGTTGGAAAGACCAGGTGGAGAAGGACTTGGCTTCGCTTGGCATTTCCAATTGGCGTCAGTTAGCACAGAAGAGAAATGACTGGCGTGCTGTTTTGAACTCGGCCAAAATGCTTAGGCGGTTACAGCGCCAATTAAGAAGAAGAAGAAAGCATTTTTGTACTGCGTAGAATTCAATGTCTTAACTTCATTGTTTATAATTGGCAAGAATTTACTAAATTTAAAATACAAGTCTTGCTCTACAGGATCGTTCCAGTAATTTGCTATTGATATGTGCTGCCCCACATTGGAATAGAAAAGTTGGTACGCATTATTAGCAGCCAAATCGGGAAATATCAGATGCAAAAAACTCGCTTAAAGTAAACTCGATAGTTTTTGTACTTATATACAAGAGATATAGAAATATGTGCGGGGTACGATATATTCTATTGAGGTTCATATTTTAAAATATAAAGCAAAATTTATTACCCACTACATTGATGCCATCAGAATGCATTTTTCTGATTTCACCCAAATAGTTCCGGAACTCTGCAATTTGCCGCCGTATTTTCCAAACTAGACCACCCTCCATATTTGTCACAGTTGTAAATTTTTGTTCCAGGGTGTGCCTAAAGTATTCAATTATTATTAAAGTAGTCACGTGCTCAGCAGGTCATAATAGGCACATTAACCGATTAGCTTGGTTGGTATGGAAGACTTAGCCAAAATAAGCCGCTTCCGATTCGCCAGTTCAGAGAGCAATAACAAAGCTAGCTTGCAGCGATGAACGTCGGCGAGTTTGGTTGTACCTCATTAATTTCGTTCGTTTCGTGTTGGCGAATCGAAGGCAGCTCCCACGAGATAGATAAAGTTTTGACAGTTTCTAAATAAGTATACACATTATATTGTCTGGCGATAATAAAAAGTCAAAATCAAAATGAGAGCTCAATAAA